AAAAGAAAAATAAACTCCGAGTAATAGCTTTTCTTAATAGTAGTAAGATGATATTTTTCCCTATATACAATTGAAATTCCTGTATCAATCTTGTGTACAGGAAGAAGCACATCGCGAAGTTCTACAATGCAATGTAATGACAAAACGAATTCTTGCCACGAACGGCAAAGTTAAACAAACAAAATGTCATTTCAAACACATTTCATCGACCACGGTGCAGGCGTCAGCTGCGTTTTATCATTATCCTTGCAGACATACAGCGCTAATGAACGTGTGTATGTGAAAGTCGGGGGTCATTAAGGTACTTTTTCGTCGCATTCCGACTCACCCCGTGTGTGGTAAGAGAAGACGGTTTGAAAAGCGTGACCAACTATTCGGCGGGCGTAATTGCTATCGGTCGCTCACATCTTCTCGATCCTTTTCAATGGACCTTTTATACACGATGGCTGAAAGCAACGCACGATGCCTCCGCGCGACATACAACGCGCGCGCGCAAACTTGCGTCCCGCTGGTACGAAATTCCTCGCGTGTGAATATCGAACATCACGATCACAAAGAAATTCCTCGGCGCGCTACGCGAGAGATACCGCATTATAAATAAAATTGCATTGCCTACGTGTAACCTTCTACTCGGCGTGTCGGATACGTTGATTCACTTTCGGAAGTGGCTTGTGTTATGAAAGTGACTGTGGAAAAGTCGCGTGCACGCTTCGTTGGCTCCGCTAACTGCCACGACTCCACTCGACCATTTCAATCCGCCGCGGGATATCGGTCGAGAAGAATTGGACATTAATTTTTATCCGCCTCTCTCAATACCAAATCGAAACGGAATTTCTTACGTTGGCAACGCGCACGTCGATCCCGTGTCGGCTGAAAAGCCGCGATTTTAGACGCACCTAGGAAGAGAGCGTTCTCTCCCTCCACGCGCGCTCGTGCTCCAAAAGGAAGAGGCCGTAGGAAAGGCAAGGAGAAACAGAATCTGATTGTAATGACGTAAATGTAGCGTGTATAAATATTGCAACGATCAGAGTTCATAAATTCTCCCCGTGACGGATATTAACGCACGAAATAGAGCCACGTAGATATGCAAAACTCTCAATACAGAGTTGATAAATTTTATTCCTTTTACAAGAAGAGAGAAATTTTGACGTGGAAATCAAGAATAAGGCGGAACATAGGGGAATTTCCATTAGAGATTGTAATGGAAGTTAACCTTGATATCAATTGGTATCCTTCCTTTTCCGACCTGTTGGACAACTCGGTGAGCTCGTGAGAGATACTCTCCGTGTGTTCGTCACATATATATATATATATATATATATATATATATATATATATATATATATATATATATAT